TCTGGGCATGGGTTCTGCTGCAGGAACTCACCTTGTGGCCACCTCTCCGTTTCCCTCACCACCACGGGAAGGAGGCACACGCCACTCACGTGCACCTCCTCTCTCCTCAGCCAGGGGCCCACCCTGCAGCACCACGCCTACCACTCACCTTGAGCTTGGACTGCTGCTCCAGCTGCAGCGTCTGCTCCTGCATCTGTGCCAGGCTCAGTGCCTCCTTGGCGTGTCCTGTGGAGGAGTGCGGGAGACAGGCCTTAAGACGAGCGTTCCTGCAGCCGAAGGGCTGTCAGGGAGACCACAGCTTGCCCCAACCTCAGAACACAGGTGCCCAGCCTCATCCTGGTCAGACCTTGCCCAGTGACTGTCACCTATGTTTCTCCCCAAGAGAAAGACTCTCCACCCCATGAGAGGGCCATCACATTCTGGAGGGCTCCATCACAGGCTGACCCTCGCCCACTGAGGTCAACATGGCAGTCCTTTCCCAATTAACAAAAAAGCAAGCCTGTGGCCAACGTCCTTTGCTTCTCACAGTCCATACTTTTCTCTTAGGCCTCTGACACGTTACTGACCTGCTACGGAGCACACGCAGGCAAGAACGTTAATGAGATGTACGTGAGAATTAAATCAGAGACAAGCCACATGCGCCGGGAGGCGGCTCTTCACAGAGCATGTGTTATAAACACATGTACTATGATACCTTCTACGTGTGTTCCCTTCGTTAGGTGGAATTCACATCTGTCTATATCTGCGTTTTCTGGAAAAGAGACCAACTTCTGCTCCCATCACTGAGAATGACCAGGGCTCTCAAGCACTCCTGCTGTGACCCAGTTCTCCCGAGCAGAACGCAGCTGGCCCTTGACGCCATGGGTTTGAGCTTCGAGGGCCCACTCCCACACGGATTTTCTCGGTAAGTTGGTCCTCAGTATCCCGGGGTTTTGCCTCCGCAGATTCAACTAACTGGGGGTTGAAGACAGTACTTTTGATCTGAGGGTTGGGGAGCCGCCATACGTGGCGGATGACTCAAGCTATACAAGGATTTTCGACTGTCTTCAAAGTAAAATGAAAACCCTGGTACCCATGACCATCTCGAGCAAGCATGCCGTTAACTAAAGCATAACATCTGTTTACATTTTTGGGGTTTTTTTAGACTTCAACTTCCACTGTGAGCACACCCCACACATTAGACCAGAGGTGAGGAACGTCCAGCCCGCGGGCCATGTTGGTCTGGCCCTGCCAAGGCAACGACAGGCAGGACTTGAAATTCAACAAATTCAATGAACTGTTTGACCAAATAGAGCAGGCTAATTTTTAAGTTGACAATTCTGTATGGCCCAAGAATGATGCTATAAATATCCAAATGGAACCTTGGCAGAAAAGAGGTTCCCCACCCCTGCATCAGGAAGCCTTGGTGTTTGCCTGGGCTGGGGCGTGTGGTTTGGCATGAAGTGTCAAAGCTGGGGAAGGACCTCCTGGAGTCCCACGACCAGGCCTCCCCTGGGTCTCTGGTGATAGGAGGCTCAGATTATATCAGGGCCCCTCTGAGAGGCAGCAGGAGGGCACCAGGGTCCCAGCCCACTGCACTGGTGAGCATGGGAAACCACAAAGCTGAGAGCTGAACTGATTGCAGGAGCCCCTTTAACAACTGACTTTGACCGAGAGGGAGCAGACAGCACAAGACAGAACGTGGATGTCACAGGGCCGCCATGCTGGGACCAAATCCCAGCCACCTGGTTTGCTCATGTGATCTTTGGCAAGCCAGGTTAACCTCTGAGCACCTCACCTGACAATGGTGCAGTAGAGTTCTCCCCACCCCCACCCACTGGGCTCTTCCAGTGAAATGAGAAAGCAGGTTAACAGCTCAGCACAGGCCTGGCGCCCAGTTGCCCCGCTGATCACAGGCTATGAGACATGAGACACAAACTCCAAAGCATCAAGTAGTGGCTACTATAGGCAGCTCAAGGCCTAATGTGCTGCTTTGGCCTCCAAGGGCAAAAGACCTGGGATACAGGGGTGCACCAGGGGCCTAAAGGGCAGAGAAGCCGGTCCTGCTGCGAGGAGCAGCTGAGGACAGCTCCAGTTGGCTTAGAGAAAGCAGGCTGAGGCTAAGCACTGCAGCCACTGCTGCCTGAGAACCAGGTGTCTGGGGAGGACCAGACTGCAGAGGGGATCTGAGACACAGGGGCATGAGGTACCCCGGGAAGAAGGCCTTAGGGACAGGAAGGGGCGGGCCACCAGGGTGAATTCTCTCCTACTGAGCATCGGTGAGACCAGAAAGCAAGGCAGGAACAACAATGAGGTAGATCCCACATCTGGGACAGTCACTGGATGTGGAGACTGATGGGGGGAACATAACTTCAGGTGGTTGCTCCTGAGGACTCTACAGGACACACTGTGTGGTGGGGAAGTGAGGGCTCGGTGGTGGGAGAGCAGACAGGCCCTGGGGAACCAGGTAGAAAATGTTCTGGGACAGGAGATGCGGGAGCAACTCAGAGGCACGAGCAGGCAGGAGAGAGGCCCCGCAGCTGCCCCCTCACACATCCAGGGCTACGTGCATGGCCTCTATAACTGTGTGGAGTGAGGGAGACAGCAGTCAGGGTTCAGCTTTTAAAAGCAAGAAAACTTTGTCCTAGCCAGTTTGGCTCAGTGGTTAGAGTGTCAGCCCGCAGACTGAAGGGTCGGGGGTTTGATTCCCACCAAGGGCATATACCTCAGTTGTAGGATCGATCCCGGGCCCCAGTCAGGGCACGTGCTGGAGGCAACCAATCAATGTGAAACACACTGATGTTTCTCTCTCTCTCTACCCCCTTCCACTCTCTCTGAAAAGCAATAGAAAAAATATTGTCATGTGAGGGTTAAAATAAAATAAAAATGGGAAAACTTTGACATCCTGGATGCGGTAAATGGGTGAAACCCCCCAGGAGCTGAGGCAGAAAGGTGTGCCCCCAACTAAGCCTTTAACAAGAAATCAGGTCACATGTCAGAAGTCTGTCGTCATCCAAGGTGCTGGGATGCCAGCCATTGTTTCTCCACCCAACCTGATTAAAACTACCCAGAAGCCTGGCCGGCGTGGTTCAGTGGTTGAGGTCAACCCATGAACCTGGAGGTCACAGTTCAATTCCTGGTCAGAGCACATGCCTGGGTTGTGGGCTGGATCCCCAGTAGGGGGCGTGCAGGAGGCAGCTGATCTCTCTCTCTCCCTCTCCCTTCCTCTCTGAAATCAATAAAAATATACTTTAAAAAAATGAGGGTGAACACAAACATAAAGCATTTAAAAAAAATAAAATAACTTAGAAAACAATACACCTAGTCTGGGGTGGGCGTGTCCCTGGTAGGCATATCAGGCTGCCCTGGGCCTGGGCCCAAACGTCTACATGTTTGGAATGTCCCTCTAGAATCGGAGAGCCAGGCTGGCCCAGAGACTTTGGCCTGGGATGTTCCAGTAGCCCCTCTGGGGAAGGGCGGGACTTGGCCACAAAGTGCCAGGGAAGGTTCTGCTTAGACCTGCTTACAAGGCTTCTCTGTAAGGGTCTCCTTGGAAAAAAGGGCACCTCTGCTTAAACAAAAGTTTGAAAGCCGTTGTATTCTTTCAATCAATGTTTATTCAGCGTGTTCTACATTCCAGGCTCTTAAACACTTACACTACATCTTGAGACAGACGGTTCAAGGCATAGGAGAAAGGAAGGCGGGGGGAAAGATGTGGCTTAGTGAAGCTCCAGTCGCTGCGGATGCCTTGAGGGCCCGGGGTCGGGAAGGTCATCAGGGGGGCCCGGCCTACCTGAGAGCTAACGGACCCCAATAATCTGCTATAGTCTCCTTAAAACCAATGACCCTCAAGCATGCTTCCCCGCTCGAGTGGAAAACTGCTTAGCAACCACCCCCAAAGGACCCCGCTCTGGCCACGCCTTGGCCGTCCCACGTGGAGGCAGCAGGAGGGGAAAGGAGCTCCCGCACACCGCAGGGCCTGAACACCGGGGCCCAGCCCGGCGCCTGCTCCCTGTGACCCCTGGAAGTCTTCTGTGCGCCGGTGTCCTCACCTGGAGGGCACGTGGCAGCTGAGCAGGTGCCAGGGTGACAGGGTCCCGATCCGCCCTGCACGCGAGGTGGCTTGGGCAGATTCAGTCCTGGAGGCCAGGCTCCTGGCCTGACAGGGAAGGGCTGTGGGCAGCCACTGGCCACTCTACTGCCCAGGCGACTAAGGGGCTAAAGGCCCCCAGCGCCGGCCCGCCCGGGGCTCGGTGGACCGGCCC